TAGAGCCTCCCAATACAACCTTGAGCTGGGTCATCTCTGATTGACTTGAAATATGAGCAAAATACTGAGGGAGCAAAGCAGGTCTACTCCATTTTGGCATGTAGACAATGCTTTATGTTTGGCATGCAGTATTCGTTGCAAAAATGTTTAAATTTGCCTTAAAAGAGAACTATGGGGTAACCTAAAGCTTGTACTTTCCAGTATCCATCAGCAGATGTCTTCTAGCAGCCAGCAGGACCCAGACAATAGTCCTTATCTGATGCCGTCTGCTGGGAGGGTATTTAGCTCCTCAGTATCTCGGTTTTACCAGTGTGGTGATCCATGGTTCTTTAGCCTGCTATCCGTACCCATTGCCCTTCTATTTGCTACCAGTTCTAGCCCTCGTTTCCATTCCTGTCTTGTTCCGTTACTCTGCTTTTCCACCTGATCCTATTCTACCACATTCCCCTTATTCTCCGTTTGTATATAGTTAGTTGCACTTTTCCAGTGGGTGCTCGCTGGGTTTTGTATTGGTTGCTGTATTTTGTGTTTTATGTCACTTGTGTGTTGCGTTCCTAATAAATTGTATTTCACTTAGATTTCAGTTTAGTTTTCTCTGGGTACTCAAAATATCTGGCTAAAGGTGCCCATACACTGGTCGAATTTCATCTGGTTTTTAACCACTTGAAGACCAGGTGTTTACACCCCCTTCCCGGCCAGGCCATTTTTCAGTATTCAGAACTGCTGTACTTTGACATTTATTCAGTCATGGAACGCTGTACTGAAATAAATTTTATACCATTTTATGGGGACAGATAGAGCTTTCTTTTGGTGGTATTTAATCGCCACTGGGGGTTTTATGTTTTACTTTTTCATTTATATTTATTCTGGTAAAATATAAAAGACGGGGGTCACGTCGGGTAAATAGGCACCAAACATGTCAAGATTTAAAATTGCGTGCGCCCGCGAAATCGCAAATAAATACCATACCTAAAACTGGCCATAGGCGACACTTTAAAAGCTTTTACGGCTTATAAGTTTAGTGTCATCGGTGATTGATGGCCCTAGAATTATTGCTCACGGTCCGACATTCACAGTGATATGTAACATGTGTGGCACAACCATCATTTTCGCATCTGACGCATGTTTGTGTGTATGTGTGGGCAGGGGACTTAAAAAAAACAAAAAACCCACAAAAAAGGTTTAATTTTTTTTCACTGAACTTTATTGCTATCACATAGAGAAGCCCCCTATGTGATAGCCAATTTACATAGACAGGTCCTCTCTATGGAGATGTCAGGGGTCTCTAAGAATGACAGCTGAATGCAGAAGTGATGTAGCATACATCACTTCCTGCGTTCAGAGAACGGTGGAGAGATCAGAGGGAGATCGTGTTTTCTCCCTCTGATCTCCGGTGACAGAGCTACTGTGTGGGTCCCGAGCCCACATCGGGCACAGCGGAGTTCGGGATCGCCGACGGTGGAGGGGGCGCACACCCACATGCATAATACAAGCGATCCAGCGGCTCTACAGCCACCAGATTGCTTGTATGTAAACAGCCATCGCTGTTTACAATTTAAGCAGATTTTTTGCTGGTGCGTGCCACCCAGTGACGCGCATGAGCGATGATGTCTAAAAATGGCATCTCACATTCAAGAAGCGCCCGGCCGGCCGTTTAATCACAATGGCTGGCTGGGAAGCGGTTAATGTACTGGCTGAAATTTGCACAGCGTGTGGGGCTCTCGGCTCCTTTTCAGCCGTCATTCTTTGATCAGCTGATCAAAGGAGGCGCCTAGAAACTTTTCAATCGATTAGAGCCGGCAGCCAATGTGCTGCCCGTTCTGATTGGGTATTCTGACAGGTGCAGGCGGCACCTGTCAGAATACAAAATGTAAACAATGGGATTCCTCGATCGACACGCTGTTTGTGCTGATTAATTTTTGATAGGTGTATGGCCAGACTTACTAGCAGTAGGGGATACCAGCAATTGGCGTCCTAAAAACTACTATCAAATATAAAATGTGTGGGAGGCAGGTTTTGAAGAAATATGCAGACACTGGGAGGTGTAGGTGTATTCCTCTTTCTAACCCACTTTTCAGACATAACAGGAGTATTTCAGTACTTGACATTTTGTTAATAACTAATAACTACAGGAAAATATTCTCTCCCATTTACCATTCTGATGCTTAAGGCCTAATATATAAAACTGTACATGAAAATAGCAACCTACTTAATTTAGTCAATATAAATCAATTACCACACATATGTATAAAATAAATATATTATGCAATCAATATAATACATTACCTTTAGAACTAATGAAATGTTATCAGCTAAATAAATCATTCTTTATTAACAAAACAGACCAGAGCAAATCAAAACAAACAGCCACCTATGCAGTGTGGGTTAAGAGAGCTACGTGGAAGGACAAACTATATTAAAACAAACACAGAACATTATTGCTCACATGGAACCAGGAGCAATCTCTGGGACTAGTAATCTAAAAAGAACTCTAGGAAGGGTTATGTACGCCAGTGTGGTAGGTAAGTGTAATGTATCAAATGCATTTACCTCCATTCTCTCCTCAGCTTTCCCAACTTTGGTATGGGAATTTTCTGGCCTCCCAAAGACAGAAGCGTGTGAGCAGCAGAGCCCATTGAGAAAAGCGGAGATCCCAGAGCAGCAGGTCTTAAGAAGGATGCAATGAAGGTAAAATGTATCTCCCACGTGTACACCTTTACCCTTCATGGTGGTGGTCTTTACCTGCCAAGGCATGAAAGCGGACTTTGCTGTAAAAATTAACAAGCGCCTAACTGCTAGCCCCCCTCCTCCTACTAAATTGCTAAGGTGTAAAAAAGAAAGGCCTGTACTGGTATCTTACAGTGATGTCATTTTGCCTTGCCATAGCCTCCTGGGATAGCGGAGGATCCCAAATCTTACAAGAATTCATAGGGCTGGAGAAAACTCTCATCCCAGTTTTCCCACCAGGCTGCAGTGATGTCACTGGTGCCTACGGCAACAGGCTGAAAGCCAGGATCCAAGGTAAGGAACAGTTACTTATTGTGGCTGTTTTAGTAATTTAGCATTGAGGGGATAGCAGAATGGCACTAGTTAGTTCTCCACTTAAAGATGATAAACCCAAAGTATAAAGGACTACCATACAACCACTTTTATTCTGGCTCTTATTTCCCAATCTTGTCACAAGAAGTCTAGTTGGTTAAATAGAGAGGTTGCCCACAGTTAGATCGACTAGCTACCTCAAAAACAAAACTAAAAACAACCCAAAAAGCAAAAGCATTCTTGCTGCAATAAAAGTAATGTGCCCAAGAACAAATTATATGAACTTGGTGGTATAATAATATCTACCTCTTTTATTGTTAAAATTCTCAATGTAGTAATGCAGATGAGGAAACATTATACAATTCCAGAGTCTCAGATGAGAATTGCTTGTACTGTATGACACTCACCAGACTGAAAACTAGACTGTAAAATGCTGGTCAGACTGACCGAATTCTGTAAATCAGAAAGTACCAACCTATTTGAATGACAGCGGGCTTTGCGTTACATAATAATTGACTCTTATACAAGGTAGTTGAATCAGAAACTTATGACCAAAAAAAATAAAAATAACGGTGTTACAAAAAACTAATTATCAAAGCCATTAGAATAACTTATGATGCATTAGCAAGAAAAACAATCTGTGATGGTGCATACATCTGAGACGTGAAACATTGTTGAAGTGATAACTTTTAGTGGGTAATAATAAATATTAAACCAGAAAAGCAGAATTAAGGGCACTTTTACGGTTTAATATGAATGAGCTGATTACGGATTTCAAGGCATCAAACTGAACTGCTCACTGGAAGTGGGTTGTGAAAACTCTGCCAATCTGTCAGTACTTTAAAGTGTATTTCCACTTTTGCCGTCATTGAGATAACACCTGTTTTACATTTATGTTTCTCATTCACATAGTATAACTTTTCTTTTTAAACTGCTGCTTGCACAATACATGCTTTTTTCTAAGAAAGACTTTAACACTGTCCTAACATACCGTATTTTTCGCTCCATAAGACGCACTCCCCCCCCCCCAAACCCTAAAAGGCGGGGTAAATGTGTGTGCGTCTTATGGAGTGAATCCCTAGTTTTTTGTACATTTAGGCCTGCTAAAGCAGAGCTAAACGTACAGTGGGAGCCGCTGCTCGTTTAATACAAGTGATCTATTCAGATCACTTGTATTAAAACACTTGTTTTAATACTTGTATTTTTAGATATGCTGTGTGAATGTGAACACATATCAAACATAGTGTGGCTTTCTCACATTTGATTGCAAAATTGGAAATAGACTTTAAAGCAGTCAGGCCCCCATATAATGTTTCATATCGTTTCATGGCCCTAAGACTAGCCACAAACCGGCAGATGTCTCCCTGAAAACAATGACTGGGGACATAGCTTCCTGTCCACAGGTGAGTCACTGTAGCCCGCTAAGATTATTGTCTGATAGTGATAGTCATGCATGCCTGCTACTTTCAACTTTCTACCCAAGAGTGAAGGATCTGGCCAGTTGTAGGGTGATCAGAAACATATATACGATTGAAGGTGAAGCTTATATTCAGGAAACAAACCATGGTATTCACAGCTAGCCTATGTTTGCCCCTTTCTTGTGGTACTGAACAATATTAACCTATAGATTTTTCTCTCTTTTTCAGTTGGGAAATTCTGAGCATCAGACTATTCAGGTTTTTCATGCTGTGACATTGCATTGGTTTCATCTGTAAGAGATGAAAGTTAGTTACATTTATGCAGCATACATTTATGCCACAACTACATTTTACCAATTCTCTGAAAGACAAAGCCAAGGTAAAAGCTTCTGAAGGTATAATAAACCATTTTATTGCTTAGAATATCATTATGCAACATGGCTCAAAACTAAACAGATGAAAGTGTTAAAAATATGCCAGGGCTGTGGAAATGCTGATCTCAACTTAAAAAAAAAAAACCATACAACAAAAGATAAAATTTGCCAAGAAAAGTTTAATTAAAAAAAATGTTCAGACACACACACACATAAGCAATGCAAGCCATTTGTAAGTGCTTGTCTGTACAGAACTACTTCATATTGCGGTGGAAACTCAGAGGTCAGGGCGAGACCTGTCATTAAATAGCGTGAAACAGTTCTTAGAAGAGCACCATTCACCCACTAACCAGCCAGTTAGAGTTCCTTTAGTAGCATTGAGGCATTATTCACATCAACACAGGCTTGTGGCTCGCCAACTTATATCTGGTTATTACAGTAAACATTGTGTGTCCTGCTTCTTCCATCCAATTTACTCTGCTGTCTTGGATTGCAATCCTTCCTCTGGTCACTGATTGATGTCCGTGCAGTTGTGGAGTCATAGAAGCTGCTGGAAGCTGTACCCTGCATATTATGTCCAGAACTAACTCCTCCCAGAGTAATTCTGTACCCTTGCATCCTCACCACTTGTGCCTGAAAAGCACGATGGGAGTGGCAGGAAGAGGTAAATAGGTGTCCCATTCAAAATAAAGAGATTTATATACTTAGTTATAACCTTGTGCTGAGGTTTTGGCATATACAGTTCGGCAGGGGTATTGTTACATTGATCTCCCACTCAAGAGTGTCAGCACTTATGTTTCATGGCAAGCTGTGGATAGAATAAAAATACTACATAAGTTAGGCTGCAGGTAAAGAACAAATGTTATTACAAATAAATTGGTTTGATTCAAAAGAAGGCAAGAGACCAATACCAAAAATCTGCAGAAAGAGAAGAGCAGCATTTTGATCACATTTTTCTAATTATGAATTATGTTTTACAGCATAACAATGTTACAGGAATACTCTAATGAAAAGGTACAAAAAGAGAATACGCACCTATTTAAAGGGGGAAACTTATGTCTTTTTAGATGCACATTTAAGAATGATCCACCTTAGGGCTTATAAATATGGGTGCAAATACAGGTGTATAGGCATACAGCGTAAAATATGCTTGTATTTGTTGCGCCCGGGAGCCCCAGCAACTTTCATAAACGAAGTGTTCAGGAACTTAAGCTTGTGCAAATGCTGGTGACGGCATTTACACGCATATATCTGTTTGCAATGTGTTTTTGTCTGTACAATCCTATGGACAAATGAAAAATGCAGCAGCTGGGGCTACCAGGCATATTTTGCAGTGTATGCCTATATATGGGCACATATGGATGAGCCATAATATACATTATTAGTGTGTGGAATTACTAAAAAGAAAATAAAGCACTCTCAATGGTTGTATAGCATATAGAGATAAATGTAATGATTTGATATAAAGATAGCAGGTTGATGGAGAAACCCACATACCAGTTTATGAAAAAGAATAATGAACAATATGGAAAACGCAAACGTGCTGTAATGTCATATTAAAGAGTATTTCCTGGAAACTGTTACAGTAATTCCTGAAAATGTAAAGTTAGAAGAATAAACTGTAGGCTGCTCTTTAAACAGGGCAATGAGCAGTGTAAAAACCTGAAATCATCTTGATCACTGCCTCTTGTAGTTCAACATTTGGGATGGAAGAGGGAAGGACAGCACTAGGATCCAGTCAGTCAGACACTGTTGCACATGGGCTAAGTTCATTCTGACAGAAGGAAACCACACAGCGATGAGCTAATCAGTGTGCTCCTGCTTCTTCACTGTCCAGTCAGGGGGCATGTAGGCAACCTACATGTATTGCTTAACTGCAGAAGAGAAAAGTCAGGTCGCCAACCTGGTTGTGTGGCATGGCTATGTTACATAGTTACATAGTATTTGAGGTTGAATAAAGACATAAGTCCATCGAATCCAACCAATATGTTCAGGTCAGGGACTGCCTGGACAGAAATACAAATCCTCCGAGTAGATAAAACTGTCCCCATTTATATATTACAACTTTTATATATTACAAGCAGTTTGCTTGGAGTACAGCGATAAACTATAATGTGGCAGGCAGATTGTCGCAGTGTAAAATGGTACCATCCCAGGAGATAGATAAGAATAACATTTCTTATCACTTACCAGCATTTCAGTTCACTAATGCTGCAGGTTAGAATATCTATTCCTATTACAAAAAATCTGTTGAAAGATAAACATACTACCTTTAAAAGTGAATCTAATCTTTATAGAAGAACTCCAGACAAAACTGTTCTTAACCCTTGCCACGGGGCTAACACCACACTGCATGGGTTTAGTGCTAATTTTTGTCTAGGTGCAAAAATAAAGTTATACTCACCTGAACCTGGGAGGTGGCTTGCGCTTTGATTGGTTCTTGGAGCCTCCCTCCCCCTCCTCTCCAGCAGTTTATGGTCTCGTGAGTCATCATGTTCTAGTATAGGACATGAAGACAACAAGGGACATACCATTGCTGGAGTAGAGGCAGAGAGGGTTCTTCGGCTCTGCCATTCGGGTGAGTAAAACTTTTTTATTTTAGCACCTGGACAAAAAAATTAACACGTAACCCTTGTGTTGCAGGGGTAGCCCCACTGCATGGGTTAAGAACAGTTTTACCTGGAGTTCTTCTTTGAAAGATTTTTTGATATGTAAATGTTTGTGTATCAACATAATGTTTTAGAAATGTTGTTGCTATGAAGAATATGTAACTATAGGTCTACATGGCAAAATTAGTGTGTGCGCGTGTTGTACACTATATTGCCAAAAGTATTGGGACACCCCTCCAAATCATTGGATTCAGGTGTTCCGTGAAATCTCCTTGCTACTAAACATTCCACAGTCAACTGTTAGTGGTATTATAACAAAGTGGAAGCAACTGGGAACAACAGCAACTCAGCCATAAAGTGGTAGGCCATGTAAAATGACAGAGCGGGGTCAGCGCATGCTGAAGCGCACAAAAGTCGCCAACTGTCTGCAGAGTCAATAGCAACAGACCTCCAAACTTCATGTGGCCTTCAGATTGGCACAACAGTGCGTAGAGAGCTTCATGGAATGGGTTTCCATGGCCGAGCAGCTTCATCCAAGCCTTACATCACCAAGTGCAATGCAAAGCGTTGGATGCAGCACTGGACTCTAGAGAAGTGGAGACATGTTCTCTGGAGTGACGAATCACGCTTCTCTGTCTGGCAATCCGATGGACGTGTCTGGGTTTGGCGGTTGCCAGGAGAACGCTACTTGCCTGACTGCATTGTGCCAAGTGTAAAGTTTGGTGAAGAGATTATGTTGTGGGGTTGTTTTTCAGGGGTTGGGCTTGGCTCCTTAATTCCAGTGAAGGGAACTCTTAAGCCATCAGCATACCCAGACATTTTGGACAATTTCAACTTTGTGGGAACAGTTTGGGGATGGCCCCTTCCTGTTCCAACATGACTGCGCACCAGTGCACAAAGCAAGCTCCATAAGGACATGGATGAGCGAGCTTGGGGTGGTGGAACGTGACTGGCCTGCACATTGTCCTGACCTCAACGCGATGGAACACCTAGGGGATGAATTAGAGTGGAGACTACGAGTCAGGCCTTCTCGTCCAACATCAGTACCTATCCTCACAAATGGTCAAACATTCCCATAGACACACTACTAAACCTTGTGGACACCTTCCCAAAAGAGTTGAAGCTGTTATAGCTGCAAAGGGTGGGCCAACTCCATATATATATAGATATATATCTATATATATAGATATATATATCCATCCATTACTGTTACCCCATTTAATTCCCTCCCTATAACCTAAATCTCCTGTGTTTGTGTCATAGAAAGAGCTGTGAAAGTAATCATTCTCAAGTGTGTGACAATATCCCTATGCTCTTTTATAGCGCAGACAGTAAACCATTAATACAACTTCCTGTCCACCACTGTGAATTAATTTAAGTTAAAAGGAGAACTATGGGGTTAAGGCTTTTCCCCATAGTTCTCCTTAGGGTAACGGGAGGACACAAACTAGCGTCCTCCCGTCACCCTAGGCTCAGTATACCGCGAGCTGTAGCTTGCGGTATACTGAGAGGCCGCAGCTGAAGCGGATCCTGACAATACTCCTTTAAGAGGAACCGCAAGAAGCTTTATCAAGTGTTTCCTGAAATGCGGAGAACACAAGGGAGCCATCACTGACCTGCTATAAATAATCATTTGCACGGCTCATTGTCACTGCAGTGGGGTCTTGGCTGGGGAAGGGGGAATGGACAAATTATGATCACCTTGTGCGCAGTGTCTGCAAACTGTTGGGCGCTGTTCATCATGTCTGCTGTAGATTCCTCTGCTCGGCCCAGTCGTTCCCCGCGCTCATTAAGGGCTTGGCTAGCTTTCTGCACAGCACTAGTTACACTGTCTGCAGCAGAATGAAGTATACTGTTTCCTGTAATGCAAAGAACATTCTGGATAAACTATATATTGTAATTTATAAAAACACAAAAAAATATTGGCTTTATAATGAAACATATGATTTTAAATGTTATATTGCACCCTATTGTTTTTTTTCCCCTGCAGGGAGCCGTGAGTGACAGTCACGGTTCTCTGCGCGGATAGATCGAGAAGTGAGCGTGCGCCGGTATGTGTTCGCTCACTTCCGATCTACTGAGCCGACCTGTGACAGTATCATTGTCACAGGTCGGCTCAGAGAAAATCACTCGCCTCATAATTCTCCTTTAATGAAAGATTTGAGACTTTATGTAAAGTCTTAAATTATTGCACATTCTCTCAGCTGAAGACAAGCATGTCCTGGAATACAATTCAAGTAACACTGTACTTCTCAATGCAGTTCTCAAACCCAAAAATAAATATGCATTTCGCTCACTAGGGGCACTGCAGAGGAAAGGCTCCAATTTAGATAGCTTGTGGGCTCTATCTTGTACTTCCTACAGTTGGGTGATTGTTGGTATGATGGTAGATGATAGTTTCTGTTAATGTTCTACACCATCACAGTATAATGTTTACCTATAGTCTGGTCAGTAAATTGTTTTTATTTACTCCTCTCAGCAAAGTGGTGAGACCAACATCTAGAGTGTGGAAACATTTCCACAGTGCAATGTCTGCTCAGAGCAAAGCTGCAATTTGCAAATATTGTGAGAAGAAATATTATTTTCCAAATGCTACAAGGATGAGAAAACACATCCTTGCTTGCCACAAATTACTTTAAATTTTTAAAAATACTCCACACTGAATTTTTACAAAACTTTATTTTTTTTCTGGAAAAAAAACCCAAACATTTTTTTTTCTCATGGCTTCAAAATTTCCGGAAATGTTACATCTCTAGTCATGGGGCAGACTAGATACTCTGAATGCGTATAAATGCAAGTGAACGTAAATAAGGGGTATTTGGAGGGAAACGTCTGTATGTGTATGCAACTCTTAAATAACTTAGATACAGTTGATTTATATGTTAAATACATGCACATTTTACAGGTAGATGCAAAATACAAAAATAAACAAAAAAAAAAAAACAAAACCACAACTTTCCTTCCTAGATCCATTTATCCTGCGTCTAAATGAATAAATGCAAGAGGCCCGTGTGAATGAGGCCCATGACAAAAAAACCTAGGGCTGAAGGCTTTACTCCATCCAAAGCCTAGAATTTATTAAGATCTGAGAAAACAGACAAATCCTGCCGCCCCTCACCACACTTGTAGGTGAGAAAGCTAGGTAACACAAATACACCATCCACAGCCCTGCCCGTCATTGGCTCACATACCCTCCTCCACCTCTGCTCAAACCTGAAGGACAGAGCACATTTTGCCAACATACAGTGGGGATGTGCGACTGCCCATAAGTGGTCCCTGGCAATATGTTTTGCAAAAAAAGTTTTTTTTATGAGCTTCAGGTACTTGATAAGGTGTTAACTTTATTTTGACATTTGGCTCAGTCCCAATGTCATGGTAAATTATGTGTGGGTCAGTAATTTTCATAAATCAACACAGCTCTGTGGTTACTTTTGACATAAAAGTTGGTTCTTTTTCAAAACTTCCTTAGGAATACCGGCACGGGAAAAACATGTGTAACCGCTCTTTTGCTATAACCCTAAAATACGTATATCTGAGAGTGATTGCTTCTGGATGCCGGGTGGCATAGTCGAGGACTACAAATATGTGCTAGTGCCCCATGGCAGATTTAAACAGTGGCCCAACCAGATCCTCAGCAACACTCTTTAAAGGGAACTTAAATTATACTGTATGTAAGGGTACTAGTTGATTTTGAACTGTTAGTGGGGTGCAATCATTTGACCCTCAAGACAAAATTTACAATACCCCTCAATGGCTTGGGTATTGGGACAGAAAAAATACTGCTCAGTCCCCTATTTTTTTTCTACCAGTAAAAGACCACCCAACATATGAAAATGGGCCTCATACAACAACAACCAAGTCTAAGACTGGGGAACCATCTGATGCTCCACAATTTGCCCCCATTGTTTATTTATATTATACAGTAAGTGATGGGTAAGATGTGCACCAACGGATGGAGATTTCCATCCACAGCTCTACAATGCCTATAATTCTTAGAACAGGACATATCAGGATAAGAGACAACAAGTTTTTTTTTTTTCATAAAAGACATAAATCTTGGAGCCCCTCACCACATGTAAGTGAGAAACCTAGTGGACACCACCCTACCAGCTAATGCCAAAACAGAATGTTTCCTTAGTCCAGAGGGTGCCCACAAATTTTCGTCTGGATATCTACTTTTCAAATGACGAGCTCAATGAGATCTACCAACGAAAAAACACCTACATTCAGGGGCGGGAGGTGGCGTGGCGGTGCATTGAAGTCAATGGCACCGCACTTCGTGATGGGGACATACAGTGTATGTCTACAGTCACTAAGGGTTGAAATCACCTATCTTCTCTTCAGTTCCAAAGGTGGTACATCCCCAATTCTAATTCTCAGGGAGACCTACCTGATGGATTGTTTTATATCATGGTTAAAGCAACAGTGGAAGTGAGGGACACCCACTGTTTAGATGGAGGCATGAGATTCAGAAGCGGCTGGGAATAGACCTGGGATCCATGGTGGGAAAGTTTCACTGCTTAAGTCACACAAGAAATTAAATTAACCCCTTCGTGACTGACGACGTACAGTGTACGTCGCCAGCATCGGGGCTGTTTAAACAGACTCCCGGCGACTTTTGCCGCCGACTGCAACTCCAACCACCAGACTTCTACAGACCTACAACTTATATACTGCTTTAGATGGACTGTTTTTTATATATAAAATAAAAGCTTCTTACATGTACTTACTCATTACCTTTGCACCACATCTATTTAGGAATGCATCCAAGTGGTCTGCTGAACTCACCTGAGAACAGTCTGGATTGGCAGTTAATGAACTCAGGCTTTTGGTCTGAGAGGTATCTCTGGCATGTGTGATACAGGATTTGGAAGAAGGTATATTTCTCAGAACCCGAACTCGCTACCCATTGATCAAAGCCATTGTCAAAGTGAAGGTCAAATTCTGGAGATTCCTATAAACAAAGCAAAATTAAGTTGTAGGCGATGTATTAAATTACATGACATGGCTGCCTGAAATGACAGAAAACTCAACAGTAATAAATTGAGTTGAATGGTTTTCTCTACAATCTAAAAATAACCTGTATATGTAAAAACTGTACCTATTCTATTCCACATTGCAACTTGAGTCAATGGATAGAACATATAAGACCAATGAAGCAATGTGAACTGCCTCGACTATTGTTTACAAGGAAGACCCTAGTGTATTTGATTATGTGTATACAGGCATCTGGGGAAGCACTGCATGGATGACTTACACTGAAACTTCCATGCAGTGCACACATGAATAAGCAAGAATGCTGGATACAGGATTATGACCTGTACACGCAGCTGATATATTGCTGAAAGGCTTCACTAAAGACTGTGCTTCAACAGCATTAAAGTAACACTAAACTCAGGAGTTCAATCTTTAAAATCCATTTAAGTACCTTAACTATTAAAATGAGAACTATGAGGTGAGTGCTTTTCACTCACCTCATAGTTCTAGCCGACCTGTGACAATGAGACTGTCACAGGTCGGCTCAGTAGATCGAGAGGTGAGCGAACACATACCGGCGTTTGCTCACCTCTCGATCCGGTCACAGCCCTCTGCCGTGACAGGGGAGGGGCTGGATTCCCCCCTCCCCGCTCCGATCCGCCAGCGCTGACTGGCGGAACGGACGGGGCAGGTACAGCTGGCTCTGCCTCTAGATAGGCAGAGCAAGCTGTCACTCACGCAGCTCGGCGGATCCAGACATAATTGTCGGGATCCGCTTCAGCGTCTCAGTATACCGCGAGCAGTAGCTCGCGGTATACTGTGGCGTCTCAGTATACCGCGAGCTGTGGCTCGCGGTATACTGAGCTTAGGGTGACGGGAGGACGCTAGTATGTGTCCTCCCGTTACCCTAATGAGAACTATGGGGAAAAGCCTTAACCCCATAGTTCTCCTTTAACAAATATGTATCTTACTTGTGTATCACTCAGCTGTAGATCCTCAAATCATCTCTGAATTGGTGCTGAAATGGTCCTTCCTTCTGGAGGGTGGCTACTTTTGTTCCCCATGGAACTCCTGTGATGAGACTACAATCTCACATTTAGTTTACTAATTTGTATTGAGATAGGAGTCCATCATGGAAGTGATCTTGGATTAGTGGCTACTTTACAACACTCACAGGGACCATAGGGAACAAAAGTAGCCACCCTCCAGAAGGAAGGACAGTGTCAGCACCAATTCAGAGATGATTTGAGAATCTATAGCCGAGTGATACACAAGAAAGATACATTTTTGTTAATAGTTAAGGTACTTAAATGCATTTTTAAGATTGAACTCCTGAGTTTAGTGTCACTTTAAAGCTCTATTTACATCAGTGTAAAGCTGCCAGGGTGCATTAGCGTTCACAGTGCTGATACGCCAATACTGGCACATCGCACTATTTACCCTTTTTTATTAGAAATCAATCTAAATGTCAGAAGTGGCATTAAGTTCTATGGGCACAGCGCAGTGCGATGCAGCTGTACTGTGGCATGGCCTGATGTGCTGAAAAAAGAAAGTACCGCATGCAGAACTCTTGCAGTGGTGTGAACTGTGCACATCCCCGAGACGGCAAATTGCCCTGTCTTGCTTTGGGGCTGTGCTGGAAAAAGACGATCAGTGCAGCCCCAAAGCATTTGGTGTAAATCCTAGCCAGAAGGAAATCATGATGAGCCCAGGCAGCCAACGTATGCTACTTATATAGAGAAGGCTGGAAGAACAAATCACTTTTCATTTACAGCAGAAAAACGTAACATTTCTCCCCAGTGTATGTTAAAACTCCTAGTCAACATAACAAGTCGCAATTTCACAATATAGTCTAATTGGTACTTTTATAAAGCAAACTTTCCCAGCCAAATGCCAAGGGAGAACAACGACAACGGAGACCATCACTTTATGTCACACCAAAATAATGGGTTTAAAATGAAAATGCAAATAACAATTTAGATCAGGGGTGCCCACAAGGTCGATCGCGATCTACCAGTCGTTCGCGTAGCGATCACTGGTAGATCGCCCATGTCCTCTCCTCCCGCCGCTTCTCTGTCAGCCAGGATCTGACAGCCGGCGCCTCTCTCTCCCCTCACTGCTCGTCCGTTCTGTCACAGCGGCTCCGACCCCCCCCCCCCGCCGGCAGAGTAAAAAAAAAAAAGATACAAATTTTTTTTAAAAATAAGAATAAAATAAAAAAATAAAATTAAAAAAACGTTGTTTTTTTTCTTGCCTCAGGCGCAAAAGGAGCTGGCTACGGCTATGCTCCCGTGGTGCTCGTGCGGCTGAATGTGTCAGACGCTGCAGATGGAAAGGTGCAGGACACCCCATGTGCAACGTCGGCCACACGAGCACCACGGGAGGACAGGACGCCGGGACCTGTAGGGCGCACTGGAATGTAAGCCGGCCGACTCCCTGCGTTCAGGTGCGGGAGGGGGCACAGGCACTAATGCAGGCGATCGCACTGTGGGCGAGGGGCCTGCCTGCGGAGCCTGGCTGCGGTGCCATTGACTTCAATGCACCGCCACGCACCCTCCCGCCCCTGAATGCAGGTGTTTTTTCGTTGGTAGATCTCAATGAGCTCGTCATTTGAAAAGTAGATCTCCAGACGAAAAATAGTGGGCGCCCCTGGTTTAGATCAAAGAACCAAAAAAGCAAAGGTGACAGCAATGTACTTCAACAGCCATTCTGCAATCCAGAATCAACCTACATAAAAAGGTCAACATAACAGAACCCAAATGTCCCAAAATACAGCTCTGCATATAATCGTAATGCCAAGAGGAGGCATAAAGAATTGACTACAGGTGCCATAACTTCTTGTAAGAAGAAGGGAAAAAGGATAGTTGTCTACTGTCAGCTAAAAATACCAGAGACTGCATCCACAAGAACAAGTCTTGCCTTGGTCCTGCCGTTGGTACTCTCAGGATGGGGCAAAGCCCTACAATAGATCAGTGATATATGCTAGGACTGCATTCAGTATGTGCAGATTCTCCATAGGCCTTTTATATATTTATATTTATATGTATATTTATAGAAGTCCTACTTAACAGCAAATGTGAAATAAAGTGCACACCACGGTCACTCCCAACCCTTTTCCTAAGGAGGGGTTGCATTCCTTTTTCTTGATAGAGAAATGTTAGCATACATTTTTGTACCAAATAAACATTCCCCAGCATTTGGACAAAAAAGGCAAACTGAGACCAATGGCCACATAACACTTTGTTCCTGACAATTTTAAAAAGAAAAGCTGATTTAGGTAGATGTGTTCGAATTTATTCACACTCCTCCCTCCAGTAGGGCCCAAGAAATCATCAAATTCATGGACAATCATGGGATTTCTGCTAAGGTTCTGGATGGCTCTATAGAATTCAGTTTAAAGGAGAATTATGCAGGCGAGTCAAATACACTCTTCCCCAAAATTCAAGCCGACCTGTGACACTGAAGCTGTCACAGGTCGGCTCTATTGATTGGGAAGTCAGCGAACACATACTGCCAATCGCTGAGCTCCCGACACTCTCCTTGCAGAGAGCGTTGGCGGTCATTCACCGCTCCCCACACGTATTCCCTCCCTCCCCTCACAGTTTATTTAGAGAGGCAGAGCCAACTGTTAATCAGCCAGCGGGGTGGATCCTGACAATATTGTAGTAATCCATCCTGGCTACAGTGCGGCTTTGTGCTGTCAGCATATAGTGGGCAATAGCCTGCTATATGCTGAGTTTTGGGTCAGAGGAGGACATTATTATATGTCCTCCTGTGACCCTGAAGAAAAATTAGGCCACTCACACTGGCAAAGCCCAAGGTTGATTTACTAAAGTAGTTGAGCAAGTTCACTTTGCAAAGTGAACTTTCACTTATCTTAGTGAATGAGGTGAATCTATCTGAAAATACACTTTGCAAATATCAATCAATAAATCAAACCCCAGTAAGTACACACAAAGACTAGCTTTTTTTTAGTGTGCCCAATATATTTTTTCCAAGGGAAAGTTTATTAAAGAGAAACCTGTACACAGTCATTGTAGAGGTACATACATGATACATAAAGGAGCTTAAGGACTCTGTGTAGACAACATTAGTCTATGTCATGACAAATGCATTGGCAGGGTAGAACTTGAACAAAAAGCCAATGTCCGAATATTTAGCTGCATGAAAGCCAAGGGCAACAAGTCCAAAAAGCATATTTAAGCAAAATAGGAATTAGTGACAGTACGAACCAACTTTTATTTATTAAAAAGGAGAACTATGAGGTGAGTGCTTTTCACTCACCTCAAAGTTCTAGCCGACCTGTGACAATGAGACTGTCACAGGTCGGCTCAGTAGATCGGGAAGTGAGCGAACACATAGCGTCGCTTGCTCACTTCTCGATCCTGTCACTGCTCTCTGCCGAGACAGGGGAGGGGCTGGAGTCCCCCTTCGCCGCTCCGATCCGCCAGCGCTGACTGGCAGAACGGACGAGGGAGGGGGCGGGTACAGCTGGCTCTGCCTCTAGATAGGCAGAGCCAGCTGTCACTCACGCAGCTGGGCTGATCCAGACATAATTGTCGGGATCCGCTTCAGATGCGGCGTCTCAGCATACCGCGAGCAGTAGCTCGCGATATACAGAGCTTAGGGTGATGGGAGGACGCTAGTTTGTGTCCTCCCGTTACCCTAAGGAGAACTATGGGGAAAAGCCTTAACCCCATAGTTCTCCTTTAAACAAGTTTTCAAATCTACAAGGCTTTTTGTGTGTTTATTCCAACTAAAGCAGCTGCATATTACCAAATTTACTGCAATGTGCAGGTTGAGATTTTAAAGCACTATGGGGTTTAAATAGCTGTGGTGAAATCAGATTCTCAAGTATGCCAAGGAGATTGGCTGCATACCAGAGCCTGAAATGCAGTCATACATGCCTTCCTTGCTAAGAGGGCAGCTAGTGGCAGGACTAGCCTAATGTGTTTGGACAACCCCTATGTTCATACATTAGTTTCTTGCATTGGAGGGATTCATTTAATGATCCCTGCCTTCCACTGCTGCAGCGTGGGTGTGAAGAGTTGCATCTTAGCAATCAACTTCTGGCAGTAAACAAAGTTTCATGCAGAAACAGGCCTAGTAACCATAGTAAGACCTAAATTTAAATAAATTAAAAAAAGAAAAAGTCTGTAAGCAAAACTTTTTTTCTTCTTTTACTTACTTGATTAGGGTCAATACCATTTACTTGTCTAAGCTGGTCTAGAGTCCACTGAGATCTTCTCACAAAGCAGGATGCACCTTCAAACTGTTTAACCTTGGTGATGAAGACTTGGGATGGCTTCTTGTTTGTCACTACAAATAAAAAGACAAACTGATTAGTAGACGGTCAATACAAGTGTCTACTGGCAAATGTCTTCTGCATATATATCACAATAATATGATATTGAGGATTATTTAGGGAAAAAAATAAATCTATATCTGAACTTTTTTTTTTTACCCACATTAAAAGTATGTTGCCTGAAAAAGGCAACCTTCGGTTGCCAACTCAGGTATTAAATGTATACTACCTATGCTCATGCATTTGCATTCAGTTTATTGCTTTATACTTCTACAGCCTAAAGTCTGTGTCGCCATTGTTTTGATTTATAACCTGAAAAGTTAAAGAATTTAAAAAAAAAAAGTATGTTGCCTAAGGGCCCATTCACCCCTGCAATGTGCTTTACACAGTGGCTGTTAGTATACACTGTAAAGGAGCAGTGCGATGCCTTATAATGACACATCAAAATGTTTACCTATTTTTGCAACTTAATGGAAATGACCGTTGTGATGCAATGTGCTTTACACAGTGGCTGTTGGGTGTACATGGTAAAGGAGCAGTGTGATGCCTTATAATGAGGCATCACAATGTTTACCTATTTATCACCGTTGTGATGCAATGTAGGGCATTGCAATGTGCTGCAAAACAATGCAGCATTTCCTATCTTTCAGTGCACACCACTGCAGGGTGGTGCTGTGAACTGAACAGGACACGAGGCAAACTGCCTTCTCTATGCGTTGGCACAGTGTTGGGTAAGGCTGACCCCTGCTGCACTATGCATATGTTGTAAATAGGCCGTAAAAGCCAACCAGAAAAGCTGTACTATTTACCTAGAGACTGACCTGATTCAATCTTTTTAGGGCAGTATAGAAAATAAAACCTTACTTTGCCAACATTCCCATTTTACAGCATGGGAATATGCATCAAATCGCAATATCACATACAACTGGAAATGATCAAAGCATAAAATATCCAAATGTAATACTAGTTAAAACATTTTTAAAAGATAACATTTGAAAGATAAAATTCAGGAAAACCGCTAAACATACACTTGAAAAAAAACATACAAACTACCCTACCTGCCCAAGGATTTGTAATTCTGCCTGGCTATGTTTGTGATTTATACACCACTGTCAGATTGTGCAACCAGGAAGGGGGCATCAATTTTTTGTGCTGGAGTTAAACTACAACTGAGGCCAAAACTTTTTTTTTTAAGTTTTGGATAGATGGGAGAGGTATTTGAGCGCTTTTCAGGTTTGTATAGCGTGTCTGTGTACCGGGTAATCCTCTGTGTACCCTCTATTTGATCTGGTGATCGTTAACACCGAGAATAAAAATTAAAGAAAATCCCAAATTTGGCATAGTCAAATCTTCAAATGGGTACACTAGTTACCCAGGTAACAGGGATTTCCCTTGCTTCAGCGAGATTTCCTCTCACTTCCTGTTGTGGCCACTGGAAAGGAAGTAAAAGGAAATCTCCCCAATGTAACACAAATGACCAAAAAAAAAAAAAGTAATAATCCTCCCTTACTCTATCTAAAATAAGAAAAACATGTTTTGGTTTGAGTTCCTCTTTAAGGGCCTGTTCACATGAGTTTCAGGTCCTGATCAGGTCCGCATCTGCAGACGTGGTGCTATGTGTTTTTGATGCGTTCCAGTTTTGCTGGAGTGGGGCTGTCAGTATGTCAGCTGCAGTGCGTTTTTTATGCGTTTGACGCGTTTTGCGTTTCTGGACCGTTTCCTGACCGGACAAAATGTGACATGCAGTATTTTTCTATCGTAACCTGAACTGACTGCGCACGTGAGAACTGTAGCCCATAAAACACATAGGGATACATTGGGATGCATTTTTAGTGCAGGAGTGTACGGATCAGGTCAGCACAGAAAACGGACGTCGTGTGAACAGGCCCTAAGGGCAGGTTCACATCATTTTCGGGACCAGATCTGATCCAGAAAATGGTGTGAATCTGCCGAAGTTCGAGGGCATTCCAGACCAGACAAAATGAAACATGCAGTATTTTTCTGGTCTGGAACGGACTGCGCTAGTGTGAACAGAGGCCAGAAATAGCATAGGGATACATTAGGAAGCATTTTGTGTCCGGAGATGACCTGCATGTGGTGTGAATGGGCCCTAAAAGGTCACAATGGAGTCACATACCGGCCCACGACCTGCTGATTGTACAATAAAGGAACAGCAACACTGACAAGTCATCAACCCTGCTCCTGCTGCCCTCATCTCCTGTTAATACATTTGCATTCAGCAAAGCCTAAATTGCTTCTAATGTTTCTCCTCCTAGCCTAAAAGTTGCTGTGTAAAGAATGACAGATTAATAACAAGACATATTTAGGTACTTATACTAAATGAATGTAAAAATACATTTATGTATATACAACTGCATTGAATGTTGAGTTGTGAATCTGCCTGCAGTTCAGCTTTAATGCGCATTAAACTAACCTAAGAGGTGAGCGCAATCTGGAATACGCACTATTGCATGTGAAGTCCTTCCCTGCATATCCTACTGTGAAAACTCATCTGACAGAAGTTCTACTATTGTTGGCTGCAGTCTCTGGTTCCTGTACACATTCTGAAGTAGTTGGCCCCACAAAAGACTGAGGTCAGCTACTTAAATTCAAACAATGCAGAGCAGAGGGACAAAAAACTGGGGAGTTTTTTTTACAACTGGATATCTAGTGAAGGACATCACAGGAAAAAAATTATCTTGCATTGGGGCTTGTTCACACCAAAATCTAAAGCAGATCTGTAAACGCAGTGCATTTTTGTTGTAAATTTTGTTTAGCTTAAAATGGGCTTTGTATGTGTTTTTGATACATTTCCATGTGTCCCAGTGCATTCCAGACCAGAGAAAATGAGACAAGCAGCATTTTTTTTAAGTCTGGCCTGGAACGGACTGCGCTGGTGTGAACAAAGCCCAGAAATACCATAGGGATACATTAAGATGCTTTTTTGGTCCGGGAACAAACTGTTCTGGTCTGAACATGGTCCAGACATGGTGTGAACAAGCCCTTATACATTCACATCCCAGGCGCTTTTTATTAGAAGTTTGTGAAGATCTCCTTTAACCAGTTGACATCCGCGGTGTTAAACCCGCTTCCCATCCAGGCCATTTTTCAGTATTCAGCGCTGCGGTAGTTTGACTGGCATTTATTCCGTCATGTAGCGCTGTACTGAAATGAATTTTATACCCTTTTTTGGGGACAGATAGAGCTTTCTTTTGGTGGTATTTAACACACTACAGAAATTTGAAGGCTGCCACTGCCACACTGCTTTAAGTCGCTGACCTGCAAAAAAACTAGAGAGATAAGGATTTCGGGCACTCTTCTGACAGTTATAGTATGCTTGATCAGGGGCTGAAAAGTAAACTGAAGAGATTATATATATATATATATTAGGGCTGCGGAAATTAATTGTCAAACTTTTTGATCGATTAAAATTCTTTTGATCGCTAATGAAAACAAACACTCACCTCTCCGCTGGCTTCCGGGAGTCCCGATGGAGATCCGGTGACGTCACGGACATAGACGTCACCGGACTCCTCCCGCTTCCCCAAGTGGCTCCGTCAGCTAAAGAAGGGGAGGAGTCCGGTGACGTCGATGTCAGTGGCAGCTAACAAAGGGAAGGGGGGAGGAGTCCGGTGACGTCGATGTCCGTGACGTCATCGGACTCCTCTCCCCTTCCCTCCGTTAGCCGACGGAGCCATTTGGGCCGGTGTTATTGGCTATATTGTCAGTGTCAGTCTGTATTTACAGTGCCATTTGCTCGATTGTCAGTGTCTGGCCTGTACTTGCAGTGTCAGTCTCTGTATGTGCAGTGCCAGTCCTTGTATTTGCAGTGCCATTGGCTGTATTGTCAGTGTGAGTCCTGTGTTTGCAGTGCCAGTCCCTGTATTGTTAGTGCCAGTTCTTGCTTGTGCAGTGCTAATGGCTGTATTGTCAGTGTCAGTCCTGTATCTGCAGTGCCATTGGCTGTATTGTCAGTGTGAGTCCTGTGTTTGCAGTGCCAGTCCCTGCACATGCAGTGCCATTGGTTATATTGTTCTTGTGAGTCCTGTATTTGCAAAGCCAGTCCTTAAATGTGTAGTGCCATTGGCTGTGTTTTAAGTCCTGTCTTTGCAGTGCCAGAGCCCTGTATGTGCAATGCCAGTCCCTGTATGTACAGCAGTGCCATTGGCTGCATTGTCCTTGTGAGTCCTGTATTTGCAATGTCAGACCCTGTATGTGCAGTGCCAGTCCCTGTAAAAGCAGTACCATTGGCTGTGTTGTCAGTCCTGTATTTGCAGTGCCAGTCCCTGTACGTACAGTAGTGCCATTGGCGGTATTGTCCTTGTGAGTCCTGTATTTGCAGTGCCAGTGCCTGTGTCGGTAGTGCCAGTACCTGCATGTGGAGTGTGAGTCCCTGTACGTACAGTAGTGTCATTTGCTGTATTGTTCTTGTGAGTCCGGTATTTGCTTCCCTTCGTTAGCCGACGGAGCCACTTGGGCCGGTGAGTTCAGTTCAGTTTAATCTAATCTAACCTGACACTGCCCAAGGATGAATAATGTACAGTGTAAATGTATGATAGTAAAATCAGTATTTGGAAGCTTTTGAACACATCAGCTTAGTCGATCTATTCTGCACATGTTGGAGCGCTCTGGGGAAATTAGGTACAGGTTATCGTCAAGGCAGAAGAATACCACTTCACAACAGGAACTATGACATTTCCTGAATTGGCTCTATTCCCTCATCACACACGGACTACACGGATTTCCTTGTCCTCAAACAAGTTAAACAATTACAGAACATACTGGGCGAGCACAGGTACATGTAAAACAGAAACACACTGCTCGTCACTGTACATGGGGAAGTGGGGAACCAGGTACTTTATAGGAGATGTGGCCATGACGCTTGTATGTTCAGTGAGCAGGTGATTTAGTACAAATCTATGAGTATCCTTGCTGACATTTTACCATTTCCAGGGTTAGGATTCTTAGTTGAGGAGTATAATTTATCACAATGCTGCTTTGGAAGAAAACAAAT